GAAGACGACATTGTCTTGTGAAACAAAGACGCTGACAAAATGTAGGATATTCGAAACACCTTGGACAGAAATGTGAACATATTTGCCATGTACTCGGCACCTGTCACATGTAATAATGATAATATGGGTGATGATGATGCTTTGGGGACTGGTTTCCAGCTAACTCTAAGTTCCGAGAGTAGAAAGTGAGTGACGGAGTGTGTTGACCAACTTATTTGAGGTAAGATTAGACTACTTCACTTATCATTTCAGCTTATAGGAGGAGAGGAGGGAAGAACTCCTCCTGTGACATCAATCGAGTGGTCAGTTTGACTAAAATTATGTTCCAAATCCTAGGGTCCATAGTTATCCAACACCTAACCTAACTGGAACTGTAAAACAACAAAGTTGGGAACACCAGGCTAGTCTCATACACAACCAACGGGTGCATCGATCACTCTTCGACTCGTTTCCGGACACAGGTGCACTTACCCCGTCACCGAATTTTGACACATTTCTTCCTCCGAAAACAGTATTCGATTCTGTCGACTCAGAGGTGTTGTGCTTGATTCCAACTCTGAACGGAGTATGAATCAAAACATTTCACTCTCACTCACAAAGCAGTGGAACTGCTAATCACGAGCCTACATTTAAAGTGACGAAGACCGTCACCATTCTCCGTAGATGCTTCATATCACCGTTCCTGTTTAATTTTCCTATAACGTGTTAATCGATGTAACCTCACATGATACCTCCCACGACAACGCTTGCTTCACATGCTATACGAAGATGATATTGTCGTGTGAGACAAAAACACTGACAAAACGTAGAATATTTGTAACACCTTGAACAGAAGTGTGAATATATATTCGGCATATATTTGGCACCTGTCAAATGTAATAATAATGATGATGATGCTCTGGGACTGGTTTGCAGCTAACTCTAAGTTTTCAAGAGTAGAGGAGAGTGAATTGGTAGAATGTGTTGACCACCTCACTCGAGAAACTGTATCAATGCAAACCGGTTTTTGATTGATGAGGGGATTTCAGGTCGGAATCCAACAGGCATTTTGTCATTTGTTAAATTACGCCGTCTCTACTCTAACGTAAGTGAGGTATCCGAATATAATATGCTGCTCTAACACAACCACTAAACGTAGACAATATGAAGGGATTATAGGCCTTTGATGATAGGTGTTTCTTAGTGGCGCTCATTTACGAAGGAATTAGCATGACAGGCGATTTGGTTGGTAACGTTGTGAACAGTCACCGACTGAGGTGGCCTCGACATGTGTTACGCATACCAAGCCATCACCTACTTCAACGTGTAGTGTGTTAGGAGAAAACACGGCCACTGTAGTAGATTATAATTCCATATTAGATTTTTTATTTTATATGGCTTTTTTAATAGTATTAATCCCTTAAGTTTATGAAGAGATATAGGTAAATAATACTGCATCAGTGTGTCATATGGAATAAACAAATCTAATATGGAATGGTAGGAGAAGTTGGATTAGCTTGGAAAAAGGTTTAGGCTGGTTAGACTAAGATGTGGTACTAGTTCACGATACACCTGATTACTGGTCTTAGCCATGTGGAAAGGTATAGACTGCTTGGTTGGGGGGTCTTTGAGATGATGAGAATCAATGGGTGATGAACTTTGGTGACATGGTGGAAAAGTGGTCACAATGGCGTAGATGTATTCACACTTGAATCTCTTCTGAGGTTTGAACATTTCCACTAACATCCAACTTTTTGAAAACTCTTTGTCCACGTATACTTCGATATCACGTAGTTTAGTCATTCAACTTCCAAACAAAGGGACCGAACCCAATCTCATCTCTACGGAGATGTAAGCAGTCAGGTAGTATCATTTAGCTCATTGCCTACTGTATGAACGTGTATGTGGTTGCCAAGTGCACTTCGACTTTGATAACACTTTACTTCTGTTCACGTGATCTTTACATGATACTATGAAGTGAACAGCGTATTGAACCAGTGCACTTCGGTGCAATGCTTTACAATGATCTCTTTTATTTCTGTATAAACTTTCCAAGAAAAAGTGAAAACAGTTTCATAGTATAATATGCTTCTTTTTATATTACAATATCATAAAGTATTTATGATTTTTAATTGGCAAATATTGAACCAGCCAATGACAGATATAAATAATTACAGATTTTTATTAATGTAACAAACTACTTTGAATATCAATTTTGATACTGGGTAATGGTTGAAGATGAAATGAAAATTTGGACAGTGGCCGAATCCCAACCAACGACCACCGGGTTGCCAGACCCAGCACTCTACTAACTGAGCTACGAGGTCCAACTGCTGGAGAGGTTTTTATTTTACTGTAACCATCAAGAGCTTTTCCCGACTACCACATGAATTCGTGATGCGTTACTACCACTTAATCAATTGTATTCACACTGACTGCTTAGTCAGTACTTCTCATATCAGTCCAAATCTACTTGAATTAGAGAGGGGAGCATTATATTGATTATTAGCTCGATTATCTGAGATAGTCGTGGCTTGGCAGGCTAGTATTTATAATGAGTGATGATTGAATGTGAAATGCGAATTTGGGCCGCAGAAGAATTCGAACAAGAGATCCCAGAGTTTCATGATATGGTGGTTTGCCAACTGAGCTACCAGACCCAGGTGCTGACTAGATCTTAATTTCACTTCAATCACAAAGGATTTTTGCCTGAATATCATATGAATTATCATTGTCATGTACAAATAGTTGCAGTTTGAAATCGATTGTAGTGATACAGATTTATTCACAATTTTTCTTTGTTTCATTGTTACATGCTTCATATGGTGATAGATTTCAACCACCCCCTTAAGTTATTCCTTTTACACATTTCATTATTTGCGTTACTTTGCTTATTATAATTACGTGACTTTCAGTAACTATTTATACAGAATCATTAACCTGATTTAAATTGGGACTTTCAAGGGCGACTCTTTGACAAACTGAAAAACAATGTTTCACCAAAAATTGACTTTATGATTACGCCTACTTCTTTAGTTACCGTCATACTAAAAAATCTAAGGCATTCTTCCCTTATAAAGCCTCATTTACACAGAATGTAATATTTTTAATTAATTAGTGGTTTGTAAGTGATAATAGATTTTACAGATTGACATCAATTCGGGAACCAGTAATAAGAACCCAAGAGCACTGAACACCCCCCCACACACACACACATGACCCACAAACGCAAGAGAAATCAAGACCATCCAGTCTCACGGCAAACACGTTATTATTTACACCCTCTAGGTTAACCAAGTTAGAAGTAAGAATGAATACCCACCGATGACGTTAGATGACAGTTTCGTTATATCACGAACAAATAGAAATTAGAAAATGTCGACGACTGTAGCTCAGACTATTGATAGAATGGCAACATGACTACTAATAAACTTAGCGGTCTCGAGCTGTTGAATGCCCTTAAACTAGGATAGGGACATGGATTTAGTGCACCCAGTTTTTCAATGTCTGTTCAAGTGTTGTCAATTTGTGATGAAAATCACTTTAAAATATTTTATGAAGCTTCCAATAAACAATGAGAAAAAATTGGTATTCACTAGTTAGTGACCTTTCACATACTTCACTACTCTTTGAGCTAATGAAAACCTTTTCTAAGTTGATAAAAATGAATATAATTGAACAACTAAGTGCAGGTTCATGCACTGCACTAAAGAAAGTGAAGGATAATGACACTCCTTAGATAGCTGTTCAAACTTTGATAAGCAGAGCGGTGTTCGAACCCCTGACTAACTAGTCGAGAGTTGACAACCTCAACCAATTAGCCACAGTCCTACCACCTTTCTCTGTATTCCAGTATACGCCTAGTTATGTTTTCAGAGATAATATGAATTTTTAAATATTTTTCAACCAGTCAGGCGATCAAAGTAACTGACTTCAGATCTTCATAACTACTTATCTACCAACTTATGCGATCACCAATTCCAATTGTTTGGTTGTTGTAATCTTAGTAGACAATTTACTTGGTTCTGGCTATCAGAGGAATCCAGGATGCGCGTTTCATCCTATTCGGGACACGTCAACTGGATGTACCTACACCCCAGTCAGTGAGGTTGTTCTCACTGAGACTCGAACCTCGTAACCAATGCCTTAAATACCAAAGTGTTGTCCACTAGGCCACTGTGGTACGATAGCCATCTCTTGTACAACAGGTAGTAGTTATTAATATTTGTTGATACACTTGTAATTCTCCGTTGTTTTACTGGACCGAATTGTTCGATCTTTATTTGTATATGGGTTCCTCTATGTGGATAGGTCGATGATGCCTGATCATTCATTATGTTGTAATTTGCTTGGTGGTGGATAGCAGAAGAACCCAGGATGAGCGTTTCGTTCCATTCGGGACACGTCAGCTGGATGTACCTGCACCCCAGTGTGGAGTGATGTTACTCCCACTGAGACTCAAGCCTTGTACCGATCGCTCCAAACACTAAATCGTTATCCACTAGGCTACAGAGGTTGAACAATCCAGTCCAGTAAGAAAAAACAACAGAGAATTACAAGTACATCAACGAAACGTTTTAAGAGACAACCGTTAGGAAAAAAATGTGATAAAAAATTATAGACAAAAAAAGTTCATCGCTTTAGAAATAAGAGAATCGGAAACTGACGAACTTCAAGTTATTACATCTTACTATCTATTTTAGTAAGCCACTATCAAAAATCAATAAATTATCATAGGTAAGATCAATATTTAGTAATGATGGGCCGTGGCTAGCAGTGGAAGCAGGTACATCCAGCTGACGAGTCCCAAATAGGACGAAGTGCGCATCCTGGATTCCACAGCTAGCCACTGCCCATCATTACTAAACATAGTTAAAAGACAGGCAATATCGAGGCATCCGCATGGGAGCCCATATGCCAACAGAGGCTGATCAATTCGGTCCTACCAACGACGGTGTAATACAAGTAATAACAATAAGATCAATATTGTTTACTGAAACAATAAACTGTGGATGAATTACCGTAGATTGATGAGTTGGATCCTTTAGACTGCTAATGTTTTTCTTATCTGAAATTCCATCAGACTTAGAATGACTTGAGAAAAACATTCGAGATGATGATTTGGAAGAACTACCGCTACCGTTGTTATTAATGATAGACGATTCATCTAGTGGATCCTCTTCTTCTTTTACACGTTCTGGATGGCTTACATCCTGAAACAGGAAAACAAGTGTCAGAAAAAGAAAACTAAGGCTTTTTCTTGAAGTCTCACTACAATCAAAGCTTACGATAGATAGCCTTCAATAAAAATGCTTGGAATTTAGAGATTTGACTAATTTGCCAGATACCTCACCAACGTTAGAGTAGAGACGGCGTAATTTAACAAATGACAAAATGCCTGTTGGATTCCGACCTGAAATCCCCTCATCAATCAAAAACCGGTTTGCATTGATACAGTTTCTCGAGTGAGGTGGTCAACACATTCTACCAATTCACTCTCCTCTACTCTTGAAAACTTAGAGTTAGCTGCAAACCAGTCCCAGAGCATCATCATCATTATTATTACATTTGACAGGTGCCAAATATATGCCGAATATATATTCACACTTCTGTTCAAGGTGTTACAAATATTCTACGTTTTGTCAGTGTTTTTGTCTCACACGACAATATCATCTTCGTATAGCATGTGAAGCAAGCGTTGTCGTGGGAGGTATCATGTGAGGTTACATCGATTAACACGTTATAGGAAAATTAAACAGGAACGGTGATATGAAGCATCTACGGAGAATGGTGACGGTCTTCGTCACTTTAAATGTAGGCTCGTGATTAGCAGTTCCACTGCTTTGTGAGTGAGAGTGAAATGTTTTGATTCATACTCCGTTCAGAGTTGGAATCAAGCACAACACCTCTGAGTCGACAGAATCGAATACTGTTTTCGGAGGAAGAAATGTGTCAAAATTCGGTGACGGGGTAAGTGCACCTGTGTCCGGAAACGAGTCGAAGAGTGATCGATGCACCCGTTGGTTGTGTATGAGACTAGCCTGGTGTTCCCAACTTTGTTGTTTTACAGTTCCAGTTAGGTTAGGTGTTGGATAACTATGGACCCTAGGATTTGGAACATAATTTTAGTCAAACTGACCACTCGATTGATGTCACAGGAGGAGTTCTTCCCTCCTCTCCTCCTATAAGCTGAAATGATAAGTGAAGTAGACTAGTCTGACCTCTGACTATCTAGGACCTCCGTAACTCTACTCAATAATTTCTCACCTCCATCTCCAACCTGTATCACCTCAGGTTTTGAAAGTCATTTTCAACTTCGGAAAGAATTGCACGACCGATGTCTACTTCCTAGTCAGATTTGGACTGGATGCTGAACAGGTGAAGCTTTGCTTTGGATCACGTGATCTGTGTTTCAGGGTGTTCCGTCCAAAGTTCTAACCACCTGTCTTGAGACGTTATCACTGACCCATCCTTCCCAGTGATAGTAACAGGTACGATTATCTTCTTCTTGGCGGTATCCTGGATATAAACGTAATACCAATGCCTTCTCCATCTCTCTTGCTTCCATCACCCACAAATCCATTGAGCCGGACTAAGACATATACAGCTGTTGACTGATATCCAGTCGAGAACTATGATTTCGACTTGACAACTTAATGTCATGGCTACACCAGGGAGTCTGTGGGAGCTAACCATTGAATCTTCATACACTCGTTAAGTCAATTTTGTAGATTTATCATATTGGCCAGGCGAAATCAAGTGAATAACGACACTTCCGTCTTGTATGAGAGCCTCATAAACACAGCGGACATCCATGGCTTGAAACTCCAGAGTTTTGGCAAGTGGTGTCAGACTCGACATAGGGTCCAGGCGTTGGAAGCTCCAATGGGAAATTGTGGAACTTGGAAGTGTTTTGCTGGCTTGGATCGTTAGTAATGAGAGCAGGGTGAGAAGTCGAATAAGTAACTTAATCCTTGTTTGGATCAGGAAGTGAAGGAAAAAGAGAAGACAAAGGTAAGGAAGGTAGATTATGGTTAGTTGGGAAGCATGTTGGTAGGTGGTACTTTGCGGCTACCCACACTGTGGAAATTGCTTCTTCAAGATATCTGAAAGGTAAAATGGACCACTTTCGCATGACCGCACAGTTCATAGAACATTTGCTTGAAGCTATCTATACATGACCTTCTGTTGGATGTGAATTTGATTATGATAATACCGAGCGAGAAAAAGTCATACTACCGGCATCGGAATACCGAAGGACAGGGAAGTGTTTTCTGCTTTCGAGGCCAACCTTTCTTCTAACCAGCTCCTTTCGCGTGGGGAAGGTAGCATCAGCATGGTATTGATGGCCATCCGTGGGAAACACCTCACTGTTTTCAGATCCCGTCCAACCAGTGGTATGACTCCACTCTAAGAACCTTATCGCAGTGTAACTCTTTATGACGGTAACTGCTTTTGGTTTTACCACTATCCAACAAACCTCCATTAATAAGCATTCCAGCTAGCGTAGCTTGTTAAGTCATTGTGATGTGCAAGCGCCACCGCCACCAAAAACCAGCAGCTATCGGTAGGGACCATTCCCCCATCGTTTAGTTAAGTCTGTATAGTAAAAATTACTTATCCAGTGATTTTATACGAAACGCTAGAAAATCAATCATTAGAATACACACAACTTGTAATAATTCAGGCTTAGATAAAGTTAGATTTAAAAGACGTAAAAAGCAAACATGGAAACTTATTTACATAACAAAAAGGCTGAAATATTTACTCCAATAGTTAAATGAAGTTATTACTTCAAAATTATTTCTTATTGTAGGCTTTAAAAGAAACTATTAAGCATTCGAAATGTGTTGATGTCAAGTAATGCTGATAAATTGGACGACGCAAATCAATAATGGTGCCCTAAATTAATGTTCTATTCTATGCACTAGTTGATCACTGAAGAGCTACCAATGTCATATTATTCATTGCTAAGCGTTGATCACGTTACAATACGATCACAAAGTTAGACAATACACTATCACAATGCAATTTACTTGATGTTATATGGTTAGAAGGAATTTGGTAGGTGATCTTGAGAACCAAAGGTTTCCCACTTGTTAGCATTAATCAACTCCTCCTGAGTTCCCATGCTGTGATCAAAGAGGTTACCGATCAGCTTTTTTTTATTACAAATTATTTTTACCCAGGATAGGAATCAAGGCTTGATGAAAATCAAAGCAATCATCAGTTTGTTAATAAAACTACTACATAAGATTTGAATGAACTACACAGATGAAGTTATCGGAAATTTATCTTAGTTAGGCACACCCTTGAAAAATACAAACCGAGAATAGTAGTTCAAACAGCGACATATAAAAGTAATCATTCATCCTAGTTGAAATAAAGTGAATACAACATATTAATACAGTATAAAGTTTACCTTTACGGAACCCCGCTTGAAAAGACTAAACATATCAGGTCCTGAACTGACAGGCCTTTCTTTATTCGCTCGATCACTGGGACCAATACTTGATCGAGGACGAACCATTCTTGACGTTGGAGGTAAATTGGCTGCATTTGGTTGAGACACTTGAGGGGATGAATTAGGGTTTGGTTCCAAATTGGTCTAAAATAAAGTCAGAATAATCTTAATACAGACTCATAGTTTACAATAATTCTTTAATAAACCAAAGCCAAAAATAAATGTCTGTTAATCAATAGCAAGAAAATACAGGAGTTAAATTGTAAAGTCTGAAAATTGAGACCGTTTCAACTATGAAACTGAAGCCCAGGAGAAGTACAGTATTGAACTGTAGTACAAATAATTTAAAATATTTTCCATTCAATAGTCAATCAGCCTAAAAGAAAATTCGCATTCGGTTATCATGTGCACTTGGTAACAAGATACACTCACTATGTGAGAGGTAATAACACTAACTGGCCGTTCGAAATTCATTAAGTGCAATGGGGTTTGAGGTTATGGCTAGTGGTTTAACGTCAAGTACCTAGATCATGAAGTCACAGTTCCGACTGTACTAATGTACAGTAATGGCTACAATCAGAGAAGACTATAAGGAAATGTATGGTGATCAGACCAAGGCAGAGAATACATTGATCTGAGCATTATGTTAAAATGTAACTTTCTAAAAGATATTAGAAATTAGTAAATTGATAACCTTCAGTGCCATGACCATAGTGATTTTCTCCTTCTGTCCTGTTTTGAACCGACCTCTGTCTGACTCGAATCCCATCATAATGCCTGACATTTATTTATTCACCTTTCTCTAAATTGTGAAAATCTAAGTCTCCTGTATTATTCACTTTTGTCTACTTATCTTCTCCTTTAAAGTGACTGATGTTATCTTCAAGAAACTTGTCGAAATTCAACAGATTCAAACGTGTGACACCCTGGAGATTTGATCCATAGTACGGAGACACAAGTTCCAATAATGTGTAATCACAATTAATAGTACTTTATGTCTTTATGCTATTGTAGAAACAATCATATAAAACTCAACAATACGACCCATGAACTAAATGATATACAGTCGGTGTGACCGAAAGCTATTTTCAAGAAATAGTTTAACTTCAATGGAAAGTAGGATTACATCAGTCAGATTGCTTTCAGTACAATAGTGTGAAAAATAACCATAATTAGTTCAAGGCTTTATCGATTTCCACATATTCAGCCTTATATTAGCCTCGCCTATTATCGAATAAGGGGAAAAACAGAAGGTGAAAACACGCAAAAACCTATTTGATTTATAACAGCCTGTCACTGAGAAGTGAACGTGTTCTATAGTGTCTACTTTTACTAACTAGGTAACATAGATCAAGTAAGCAAACAATGCGATTGATCGTTAGAATATAAAAAAGAATGTTATTCAAGAATGTAATTTGATGTTCTAATCACACACTTTTTGTACACGTAAATCAACTGAATTCAATCACAGATTCGATAGGATATAACAGTCTATATAAATTCTACCATAACCTGGTTCTATAGGCAAAGATAAGTGAAAAGTATGGCTAGTAGTAGTCTAAAATTGTTCAAATACTTTGAGTTTTAAACTAGGTAAAAAAGGCACCATTCTTTCTAGGCTACATTTCAAGTAACATTTATTTAATTCTTCTTAGGCTTTTGAAAGACTTTGGAATAGGTGCTGAAACAACTTTAAATTATATAATGGAATCATGAGGTTGAAGAAAGGCATTAAGTGAAATGTAGAAATTTCATCGACTCCTCAGAAATTATGGTCGGTACAAGTAACTAACCGGAACAGATACACAAGCTAGTAGGAACGGAGACAAGCATCATAATAATAACGGTAATAATGCGACTTAACCTGGTACAGACCAACACACTAAACTGTGAGCCCTGCTAGTTGTGGGGGAATATGATACTACCCGGTGGCTTAGCTGGGAAAGGGTGAGGTGTTATCTTAGTCTGAAACTTGCGGTCTGGAATTCGAGTGTCTAAGTACTAACTTCAGGCATAAAGAGAAACATCGCCTGACGTGCCATCGCCAACCCTAACTCAGAACTGGACACAGACCGACCATATTGCTACCAGTTATCGCTGGAGAGGGTAGGCAGAAGAATTCCGTTACTTTCGGAGCACGTGTCTGGACAGCGACCACGTGGTGGTTCCAGAACGTGTGCATCTGCGCCTAAATGGATGCGGAGAAACAATAGCACACAAGACCATTGAGAATCCAGCTAGACAATGACAAGACTATTGATGCTTTCAGAGAGAAACTGGTGGGACAGTTACCAGAATAGGACATCACTCATCCAGAATAAGCCTAATACCAACTCTACTGTTGTAAAAACAGCGTTGAACACTATTGTCAACTCTCAAACAGTCCTTAAAAAGTGCCAGTGGATATCAGCAGTTTCTTCTCAATTAATGCATGCACGCGAATGTATCCCAGCAGACTCCGAGCACAATGAGGAGCGAATGCAACTCAAACGTAGATTGAATAGAAGTTTACGTACTGACAGCAAACCGTGATAGGTGGCGAAAGCTAGAGAAAAGACGGCGGCCACAGGTAACATAAGACACTTATTTAAACTTATCAAGGAGAAGGAGGCAAAAAGCTCAGTAATTAGTGAGACTACAAGGAAGAAGGATGGGTCTGTAATTCACTCGCAGGGATAACAACCGAAGTAATGCGCGAAACACTTCACGGAACAGTTCAACTGGCCTCCAGCTACTATCCCGTTTCCCGTTATCCAGTCGGATCCTGAGTGGAACATCGAGATACGATACAGAAGTCAATAAAGCTGCAAGCAATCTGAAACGAGGAAGATCAGCAGGATCAAATGAACCACTACTGGGGCCATTTAAGGGTGGCGGTCACGCATTATTCTTCGAATCAACTGAAATATTAGCAAGTGTATGAGAGTCAAATATGACTGGTCACAACCACTGATCATCTCAGTCAAGAAAAAAGAGAAATCCTCTAACCACAAAGGAATCAGCCTGACGAACATAGTGTCTGACATTCTAGGTTCTATGATCACTAGACGTCTAAGCGGAGCTTGGAAACAGTAAGTACGAAAAAATCAGGCAGATTTCAGACCTGAGAGTGGGTGCGTAGACCGAATATCCACTGCCCGCCAGGTTGTGAAACAAAGACACATGTACAGATGCCCAACACTGGCGATATCCCACGACTTGAAGGTGGCACTCAACTCCATCGATTAAAAAGTCTTATACCAGTGTCTTTCACCGAAAGAGGTGTCAAATAAATATATCACTATGTCAAAGGCTCTGTCCTCAAACACCCAAAGACATGTCTGAGCCTACAGTGAGATGTTACGTGAGTTTTTTACATCTAGCGTTCGTCAAGGATGTACATTCTCTCCACCCTTGTCTGACTTCGTGATAGTTATTCTCACGAATGACTTCCTCTTCTCGTGTGATTATAGGAATTGATATTGTCACAAGAGACTTCTTAGTTCACATAGAGTACGCAGATGATATGGTCCTGTTAGCTGAAAACGCTGACGAGATACAGAGTTTTATGGACTCCTTCATTGACGATATGAGAATTATCGGGGTGCGTTTCTCATCACCTGGGCGCCAATTATTGCTTTGAAACTGGTTTGTATTGATGCTTAGTCCTAGTTGGACGCGTTGACCACTTCACTTATCTAGGGAGTCGGATCATCCCTAATGGGTCAATGGCCAACAAAATCTCTGCACGGATACAAACGGGTAGTCTTTGCCAACTTACGCCATTCATAGCGTTGCCGAGATATCCGATTGCCTACTAAAGGCCGACTTTACTGCAATACAATTCGCTCTGTTTTACTGTATAACTGTGAAACATGGTCATCAAAAATAGAGGATATGAGAAGACTTCCGGTGATTGAGCACCGTTGCCTTCATAGCTTAGGCTGTGCCGTAGTGTTCACCAAGTCAGTAATGTAGAAGTCAGGTGTAGAGTCTTAGGGAAGAGAGGAAAGTCGGTTGATGTACTTGTAAACCTTCATTGACTGATAATAGATAGGACATATGTTATACATGCCTAGTCACTGTTTACCAGGCTGGAAAACGATTGAAGGTGGTCAGAGTAAACCATGGCACCACTGCATGAAATCCTGTTGACTGTTGGTTTGAGCCGTATTGGTAAATGCAAGCTTCCTGGTTGGGGTCCATGTGACAACAGAAATAAGTGGTCGGAGATTCTAGCTGGCATCGCTGAGAATCGACTTCAGTGACGCAGATGTGTCCACATATTATTTTCGTCTTGATCGTCACACTGAATTCAGTATCTTTTTATTCCTACTTCTTTTGACCGATTCTTCTTTATTCCATTATCTTACGTCTTAGTGCTTTCTCCCCTGGTGTGTTGATATGGGGTTTGGCAACTTGGGACGCTACGCACCAATATCTGGTCTTATGAGTGTGTGCCACCAATTCATACTTATTTAATATTAAATTATAGATAACGCCAAAATGTTGACTCATAAACATAACCTTAGCTGCAAACAGCTGTAAGGAAGATGATTTCAATATGAAAGTTATACTAGACATGAAAAGTTCCTTAGCCGAATGCTTTTTTGAACATATGATGCCCAAAGTTGGAGGCTTGAACTATGTCAGCTTTAACGTTCATGTGTTTAAAAGTTTAGTCAATATTTTTGGTAATCATGATCCTTTGTTCCTCTGAACCATTCATAGTTAAAAACGATATACGACACTGATCACACAAAATGTTAGCATATTACTTCTAGACAATTCATATCAACCAACAGTTCTTATGCAGCTCTTTATTGCAACTTAATATTACCTCACCAAAAATTACACACTAAGAAAAGCTTCGACATAGTCAACACCTAAAATTTCGGAAATAATCACTTCATTGTTGCCTTGCCTCTGCGTTGTTAAGCGGAGTTGTCCGCATTCGAATCAATCTTATATTCTATAAGGATGTTATTTCTGTGAGTATGATAGCTGTTTACCACCACTGATCTACTAAGGTATTTTGAAACAAACAGAGAAGTAACAAGCACTCTCGAAAGAAAAGTGGATGCAAAATTCGAAGTTAGTGATACAAATCGGCTGAATGATATTCAAATGGTTGACTGAATAAAAATATGCATTACAGTAGTTGT